GTTAACTTCTAAAAAGTTTATAAGAACTAATTCCAGTTTAGTTTAACTTATTCTAGACTAAACACATTTCAGTTTCAGTTTGCGAAAAACAGTTGGCTCGATGGCCTATGTTAGTCCTGGCAATGGTGGTCTCTCAGTTGATCCAACTTTCTTTTGAAAGAGTCGACGGATGGAGCCTCAACCACGTGCTGAGGTAGTGAATTCCACTCGTTGATGATTCGATGGGAAAGTCGATAGTCAGCTGACAAGTAATTTGTTCTCGGCTTATGAACTTTTTTGGAGTGTCCCCGTAAATTCTCTGTTTTGGAAGACAAGAAAAATGAGGGCATGTTAGGTGCAAATTTATCACTAAGCAATTTGTAGACTGTAATCAAGTCGCCTCTAGTTCTGCGATACGACAACGGGAAAAGGTTCAGCTTGGCCAGTCGAGATTCATACGGAAGCTTCGCTATTGCGGGAACCAGCTTAGTCGCCGTTCTCTGAACCTTTTCCAGAAGCTCACTGTCTTTTTTAAAGCAGGGGCTAGCCGCTTGTATGCAGTACTCAAGTTTAGGACGAACGAACACTGTATACAAAGTCAAAAACCTCTTAGTGTCGACATGACTAAAAGCCCCACGTATTGACCATAACGTTCTAAAACTTTTGGCGGCTATTGCACGGCAGTGTGCAGTAGTCTTTAAGTTTTGACTAACGATAACTCCTAAGTCATTATATGTCTGGACGACAGGTAGCTCAGTGTTATTCATCGTGTGTGTATCTGTGCCTTGATGACCGATATGCATCACAACACACTTGGAAGTATTTATCGGCAACTGCCAGGTTTGAGACCATTCAGATAACTTCCTCAGGTCATTTTGAAGTTCTAAGCTATCACTCTTACATCGTATCGTTTTCCATATCTTGACATCGTCAGCATATAGCAAGACCGATGATGATAGGAGACAAGGAAGGTCATTTACATACGAGAGGAATAGCACTGGCCCCAAAACTGTACCCTGGGGCACTCTACTAAGCACAGTTTTCCAGCTAGATAACTTTGAGTTCACCCTTACTCTTTGTTGACGCCCAACTAAGAAGTCTTTTATCCACATCAATAAATTGCCTCCAATCCCGACTTTTCTTAACTTGTATAACAGCCGGTTGTGCTGAACTTTGTCAAAAGCTTTACTGAAATCAATGAAGGCGACGTCTACAGGTAGCTTTTGGTCCTTAAGAGCGCACCAGCTTTCACGAGCCACTAATAAGTTAGCCAAGAATGACCTATTCTGAAGCCGTGCTGCTTCTCCGAAAGGATCCGGTTTTTATCGTGATACTTAGAAAGCTCCTTCCGAATAATTTTTTCTAAGATTTTAACAACCACATTAGTTAGGCTAACGGGGTGGTAATTCTCAGGTTTGTGTTTCGTACCTGTTTTGAAGACAGGACTTACTATGGCGTTTTTTCAGTCTTTTGGTAAACGACCCTGCGTAACGGATAGCTTAAAGCATGTACTTAAAGGGCTTGCAACGAAGTTAGATAATTCCTTCACTAGCCTAGGATGTAACTCATCGGGCCCCGTGGATTTACCTATATATATATATATGCTGCTAAAAAGTCACTGACCATAAATCATCTCTGAATAGAAATTCGATGAAACTAAATAACTTGCTGGATGATATGAATCAAACATGCTTCAGCATGCAGAAAATGAGGGTAAATAAATACATTAACTGTCAGCATTGGGTTGTGGAGATTGTTGAATCGATCAATGTCAGATCACCACTGAAAACCTGGAAGTACTGGACCGCTGTTTGGTTCCATTAAGGGAGTACTTTGAAGTAAGCACCCATGATCCGCTCGAAACAACCGTTCACTGTTTACAGGTTTTTAAGGGTGATCTAGCATTGATCGGTTCATGATTTCAATGCTATTGTCTTCACCAAGCTAAATAAAATAAAATAAAATATGAAGTGATGTTAAGGTTTATTTATTCATCCCTAATTGCTATTAGACTGCTAATTGTATTCCATCTTCTGTACTTATAATGTCTAGGTATTCAATAATTTTGATGTTTGATTATAGTTTCTTGAAGATGCTTGAACCAAATTGTCGAGGGAAACTTTGGATTTACCCATAGTTTAATCACTGAAAGTTTTATAAATCTAATTCTCTTCCATTAAATCCCCATGTACTTTTAAAGAGCAACTTTGAACTTACATCCGGACTCATATCACTGTACGTTATAAAGTAATAAGACTCACTAATAACACTTGAATATATACAGCAAAATATGTTTAAGCCAACCTATTTATTGTGCAAACTAGAGATTCTTAGATAGTGTTTAAAAACAAAGGAAGATTTCCAAGTGATTAAGTATTTATGAATCAACTAACCTTGGGAACGCAAACTTCTAAATCCATAAATACGTAATATAACAGCCAACGTAAGGCATCTATATGTTGTGGTTTTATCGGAGCATATTTTTTAAATTACTTACGCCTGTTACACCTCTCAAAGGAGCGTCGGTCGCCCACCAACACTACCCACCGAAATCTGTACTGTGAAATCCTTTCCAGTTGTTCCCATTTGCTATTCATCCTTTTCATGTCTGCTTACAATTCTTGACCAGTGTGTTCTTCGACCTTCCTGTTTTTTGCTTCCGATAGCGCTTGCCTCGTGATGCAGTTTGTTGATTCCCTCAGTGTATATCCTACCTACCTCCAACGTCGTTTTCTAATTTCCTCGTTCGCTTCTCCCACAGTAGGCTATTACTAGTGGTATTCGGTGAACGAACACTGGGCATATTGCGTAGACAATTGTTTAAGAACACTTGTATCTTATTGATGATGGTCGTGGTAGTTCTTTAAGTTTGAGCTCCGTACAGTAGAACTGTCTTGACCTTTGATTTGTTTAATCTGGTTGGTGTCTTTTAGCGAGATTTTTTTCTACGGAATGGGGTTGACGACCTCACGCTCAACCCTCCTTCTTTACTCGGGCTTGTGATCGACGGTAACTCTGAAAGAGCTACAGGTAGAGTTGAATTTTTTATTTAGTAAATTCTAAATAAGAGCAGCAAGATTATGTGAATCGAATAAATATGTTACAGTTTAATTGACTTGATTCATTTAGTTCTTCCAAATTTCAACAATCTAATTAACAATCATTTCGATTTATGTATGGGATACTCTGTTTATTTCATTTCACGTATTACGTAATCGCTTATTAAATATTACCTTACTAACATTTAATCCAATTATAATTATTCTCAAACTTCTATTCGTTCAACAGCCTCATCCTTTCAAACTGTGACAAAGAAGCTGTATGTCGAAATAGAACTAGTTGTTCACTTAAGTTGTCTCTCATTTAAACATAGCCACTTCGTTCATTGTTTGAGCAACAATCATTGGGAGACTAGTAAATGATAAAAACAGAAAGGCAAGAGAATGTGGCGAAGTAAAATACAATGAGATAGTGGGAGTATATTTAGCTGGTGTAACCTTTATAGTGGATCAAACAAGAATTACAGATATGATTTTCTGTATATATGCATTAGGCTTTTAGAATTGGTCAGGACGAATTCCATCGTACAATCGAGACATTATCATGGACATTTCACTGGATTACTCATGACCAAATGCAACATCCATAAAGTGTGTTTTAATGATAATAAACTATTCACGAAATCTAATTTCATTCAGATTTTACTTTACGCATAAATTTAGCCTAATTCGAATTCTTATTTAATAGTTGAGTTCAAGAGTCATTTGAAGCTAGGCCACCATAAAAAACCTGGAAGCGCTGGACTGGCACTTCGTCGCAGTGTGGGACTCCTCAACAGTACACATCCACGATCCTGTCTCGCAAGATTCCAACCCAGAACTTATTGGGCCATTGGATCCCAGCTCAGTGGTCTATAGGTTAAGCGTCCGCGCGCGAGACCGATACGTCCTGGGTTTGAATCTCGCGAGCGGGATCATGGATGCGCACTGCCGAGAATTCTCACACTAGGACGAAGCGGCCGTCCAGTGCTTCCAAGTTTTCCACGATGGTCTATCCCATTTTAAAATCAGTAATTTTATGATAATTATTATTATCAGAAATAAATCAAGTTGCTTTGTGAGTCGAGTTGTATTTTTTTTCTAAAATACTTTTTATCGAAGAAAATATTCATGATAGAACAAGAGAGCTTTGTGAAAAACTGGTTCAATGCAACATTACGACATCAAAAAATTGACTTCAAACTTAATGTTACACATTTACAAGCATTTTTGAATGAAAATTTCTAGTGATTGTCATTCTGAACTTTATTTGATTAGTCTGTGACAAAAAAATGGGCGCTTTGAATGTTCGATTCGAAAATGTATATTTCTTTGGCTAAAAGTTAATCAAATTTCAGTTGCTAAGCAGTGAAATCTAAAAAAAAATAGAACAAAACGTATCATTCATTTGGTATTGTTTGACTTGTATCTTCCAATTGATGTTTAAGACTGCAAATTAATCAGTCTGTTATTGGCATATGTGCATACTGTGCGTATTGCCTCGATATTGCCTTAATTTAAAAGCTTTATAAGCAAAGATGGAATAGTGGCTAGCAGTGGAATCCAGGAGTTGCGCCAATAACAGACTGATCAATTTCAGTGCTAAACATCAATGGGAAGATTCAAGTAAAACACTGCCAAATGAATTCAAATTCACTCCATTGCACAAGCAAGTGGCTATCAGGACTCAGTAGCTCAGTGGATAACGCGATGGCGTTTGAAGCGAACGGTACTGAGCCCCAGAATGAACATCAACTCTCTGATATGCAGGTACATCCAGTTGACGACGAGCCTCCGAATAGGACGAAACGCGCGTCAAACTGAATTCCACTGCTAGCCACTATTCCATCTTTGCTTAAAATGTATTATTGCTAACCAAAAGACAATTGATATCTATGTATGATTAGACTCATGCTGAATCTTATATCACTCTGATCATTACCAATGTAATATTCTTTCTCTTTTTTTTTCTTTGACAACTAGCGATTATATTTGAAGATGGATACAACGAATTAAATCGTTGGTTAGATAAATTTTTTATAGAATTTTTATCTTTTAAATCATTTGATCAATTAAAACAATTCGAAGAACATGCTGAACAAGATCCATCAATAATGATGGAAAGTTTAATCGAACAATTCACATCAGAATATAATCAGAATATGAAAATGATTGAAGGAACAACAGAATCATCAAGTGACATTTTGGAATATCTTATAGAAAATAAGTTTATGAATCAAAATTGGACCAATAAAGCCAATATACCAGGTTGTACTAGTATGAATGAGGTATCTTCTTATTTGAACAAAATGACCGAATGTTTAATCAATATTGATGTAAAGAAAAAACTTCTAGTGGAACTTTATGTAAGATGTAAATTTTGTTTGTTTGTATTTTTTTAGTGTTCATAAATATGTTCTTTATAAATAGCCCTTGTTTGTAGGCCTTAGATACAAGTATTCAGACGAAATACCATTAATTGACCTTATTCTCAATTATAATAAACATTTCTTTTGTAAAGATTAAATAGAAAACTATTAAACTTGTACTTAATCATCATTCCTTCGTGGCAGTCCGTTCTGTTTTAATTTACGGCAGCGAAACGTGGCCATTAAGAGTAGAAGACACTCGTAAGCTACTAGTATTTGACCACAGATGCCTTAGAAATATTGCTGGCGTCTGTTGAGATCACCGGGTAAGTAATAGTGAGGTTAGACGCAGGGTATTAGGGAATGATGGTAAATCAGTTGAAGAGGTTGTTAATCTTCATCGACTGAGATGGTTGAGCCATGTGTTACGTATGCCTGAGCACCGATTACCACGACGTGCAATGCTAACCGGTGTTGGGGATGGTTGGAAGAAAGTTAGGGGCGGCCAAACCAAAACGTGGCATCAGTGGTTAAAGTCACTAACTTCTAGTCTGAGTGATGTTGGTAGATGCAGACTACTTGGTTGGGGTCTGCTTGACTATCGTAACCAATGGTTAGAGACTTTTACTGACATGGCTCAGAATCGATCACAGTGGCGTCGGTGTACACACTCTCTGTCTTCCCTTAAACTAAGAGATTAAAATCACTTCATATCTTTCTTTCTACGAACTAATTCTTTCTTCCTGTACTATATCCTAATTGCAATCTTTCTTTTATATATTACCGCAACTGAATTAACTACTTTTATGAATTCGGTGTTCATCTTGTTGTGTTATTGTGAGGTATGGCAACTTGGACCGATGCATATATGTTCCAGGTCTTACGTTATAGCTGACTAACTGACTGATTCCTTCGTGTTAAGCGTTTATGAGTATTTATTATCTGATAACAGCATAGTACGTATTAATTTAGACTAATAAGATTTAGAATTACTCAACATTAGCACGCTACATTTCCAATTTTCTGTCAATCTAATGTGTCATAGATATTGGATAAACTTTGTGATGGTAAGTGGTGTGACATAAGGAAAATGGTAATGGTTTTAAAGGTTGTAAATGAGAACACTTATTGTATTTTGTAAGTGTTTGCATTAAATAGTAGTTTACTTAGAAAATCTATCAAAAGATCAGAATTAGCACTTATATTTTCAAGATAAGTTTTAGTCTACAATTTATGCAAGACAATAACTAGTCAGTAACTTAATATTATTGTTGTCATTGAAGAAACCTTAGTTTCCTTATATGTTGGGGATGAAAATTTCTAAAATATTTCTATTCGTAAACGAAATGTATTTTGTTGTTTATCATTGAACATTTCAATGATTCTAGTTGAATAATGTCAGTTACATCAGGGAATAGTTTTTAGTTACGTAAAGTATTTAAACAGTCCTACAACTGTCCAATGTTTCATAACATAGTTGATCAGCTGTACTTCTACCTGAAGTTTGTGCTGATGATGTCATTCAGAAGAACAATAAATACTCCAACGCCAAACCATCTAGCTTAGAGAACAAAGCTGTACAATCACTTATTTCATGGATATTAGCGATAACCAGTAGTACAAATTAATGAATGGAAAATAAGAATTAATACAATGATGTTTGGCTTGTATCTTTCCATTGATGACTCAGTAGCTGAGTGGATAACACGATGGTACTGAGTTCGAGTTCCAGAGTGAATATCAACACCTCTGAGATGTAAGTACATCCAACTGACGACGAGTCCGAAATAGGACTAAACGCGCGTCAAACTGAATTCCACTGTTAGCCATTATTCCATCATTGCTTAATAATACATATTGTTACAGATGAATGAAATAAACAGATTCTATCATCATTCTTGTTTTTTAATGGTAAACAAATTTCTTATTTTCTCCCGCCCCAAAAAAATGTTACGAATGATCATAATTTTATTAAAAAAATCAAACGTTTTTATCGTTTTGTTATTTCATCTTTTGAAATTGATTTTCACAACAACAACAACAACAACAACAACAACATTACCTCCTTTTTTGTAGTCATGCCTTCATCTTGTTTCCCTTTGGACAATATAATGAAAATTATGTTATTAGATGATACATCATAGAACTAATCAATGTACAACATATATATTAGTCAATATTCAATTGTTATTCATTTCGTTTCACTTTTTGTTTTAAAATGGATTTTAATTTCCTGTTCAATGTTAAAGATGTTTATATTACTTTCTATGGAATACAAGTACATGGCTAAGTATATATGTGGGTTGATGTATTCAATCAACATTATGAAAGGAACTATAGTGATTAGAAGACTTTTGTTATATGAAATATGTCAGTCATTTAAAACAAAAAGAAACTAAGATAAACATGTAATTTTCTTTGAACTAATTCATAAAGGTATTCGAACAACAATAATAATGTTCATTATCAAATTGGTCTTACCATACATCTGTGTTACTATACACAATTCATACAGTATAACTTTCTTTCGATAGAACAATGAGAAGATGGAGGTGACCTAAAAACTGTGATGTATTTGCGTGATACATTTCGAACAATCTGGTCACACACACATATACTTGTCAAGGCAAATACATCACATTTTTCAGATCAACTCCATCTTCTCATTGTTCTATCGAAATTTATAAAAGGGACTAATTACTTGAAATAACTTTCTTTGTTAAAATTTTACGTGAACTAAATAATTAACCATATGTGGTCATCACTTTCATGAACACATTAGAGTTTATTACGAAGCTAATGACTACAAAATACAAGCTGAACTATTATAGTTGTTATTATGACTTCCTTTGAATGTTTCCTCTAAACAAAAGAGAAAGGAGCAATACTATAATTTCTATTATATGAAAAGTTTATGTAGTTTTTTTCTTAAATTAGTTCATGGGACTTATATGTTTTTCTGAGTGTAACGGTTGTCGATTACATAAATTATCAGAATGCGTTTTGTGGATATTTATAGTAATTTCAATGGTTAAGGTCATGATTCAGTTGAATCTAGATTACAGTGAGAGAGCTGGAAGCACTAGACGGCCGTTTTGTCCTATTGTAGGACTCCTCAGTAGTGCGCACCCACGATCCCGCAACCCGCGAGATTCGAACACAGGACCTATTAGTCTCGCGTCAGGCGCTTAACCAACTAGACCACTGAGCCGGCCAGCATCCAACAGTGTTAATGTCTAACTTCAACCAATCCACGAAGTTGCGCCACCGTACACCATTGTCTTCAGTGAGCTGATATCTCACAACAGACCTGGTTGAACTCCACTGGTAACGACTTCTCACTAGAACTCCAGGAGTGCCTCTTGAAGTCAGTTACTAGTGAGCAGATGATTATTATCAGGATGGGTTTTGTGGATATTTATAGTAATTTCAACAGTTGAGATCATGAGTCCTGGGTTTGAATCTCGTGGGGTGCGGGATCGTGGATGCGCACTACGGAGGAGTCCCATACTAGTACGAAACGGCCGTTCAGTGCTTCCAGGTTTTCCATGGTGGTCTAGCTTCAATTGACTCATGATTTCAATCTGTGAGATTACATAAATCATAAAATTTAACAATTGGTGATCATTAAACGAGATTCATTTCATTCAACACGTCAAATTGTATAGTGAAACCTGTCGCAGTAAATTGGATAATGATTTCAGTAACTAAACTGTGTAAAGCCAGACACATTCAACCCTTAAGTGTCGCTGCCAAAACGATTCAACTACATCATTAAAATTAAATTGATAATTAAATTGTTTGTTGACAACAATAAAATCAACAGTTTGTTTGTAGTAGTACTTCTGATGAGGGGATAATCCACATTGAAATACTCTAAGTACATTATGATGATCATTAAACAATTTATTTCATAAATTTTAATCTGTCATTAGTTCCATTAGTATTCGTAATTAAAGTGAAAGAAAACTCATCATACTATGCATAATATTTTAAGTGATATCGATGAAAGGAAGAGTAAGGCAAACTTGATCATAGAATATGCAATCAAATGACAGTTTCATGTATCCTAATATGATAGAACGCGAGCTGAACTATTATCATGTGTTAGTGTTCTTTTTAAAGCAACCACATTATGAAATGAATCAAATTGTCAAGTTTCATTATTTTCTTCTTATCACATGAAATATGTAGATTACAGTTTTCATGTTAAGTATCTTCATAGATCTTAAAGAAATCATATGTGATTAAGTAGAACACTATATATTATACAATGTTCACTGATGACTATTTGTACGGACTAAAACCAATATTGTGTCCTAGAGAACATATGAAACAAAAAAAAATGGTTCAACATATAAATATTTCCGTTCATTCATAGAATGGTATTTTCAATCTTTTTTTTCTTTTGCGCATTATATAGATACAGAATATTTATAATCATAAAAGATACCTGAATAATTGTAAATCGATAATTCTCAGTTCGTGGATGCGCACTGTCACTGAGGTGTACAACAATAGGACGACACGGCCGTCCAGTGCTTCCAGGTTTCCAACGGTTGTCTAACATCAATTGGTTCATGATCTCAATCAAAAACTTAATAATCTCTATAACCCCTATAGTCTTTTAAATTAATTTTCAAAGTTTAAAAGTTAACATTTCATATAGATATGTTTCACTATTTTATAAATAAAAACTATTGATGGATTAAATAAGTTCTGACGTCAAAATCTGGAGGGTAGCACGGGATACAGGGGACATCTAAGATGCAGATGGATGATCTAGACTTCGCAGATGATCTGGCTGTTCTATCACAAACGCAACAACAAATGCAGGAGAAAATGAGCAGTTCAGCAGCAGCCTCAGCAGCAGTAGGTCTCAATATACACAAAGGGAAAAACAAGATTCTCCGATACAACACAGCATGCACCAATCCAGTCTCAATTGACGGAGAAGATTTGGAGGATCTGATGCAGATGTGAAGGCACGGACCGGTAAAGCAAGAGCAGCATATCTACAACTGAAGAACATCTGGAACTCAAAATTAACTGTCTGTCAACCAACACCAAAGTCAACATTTTCAATACAAATGTCAAGACAGTTCTACTGTATGGAGCAGAAACCTGGAGAACTACAAAAGCCATCATCCAGAAGATACAGGTGTTTATTAACAATTGTCTACGCAAAATACTTCAGATTCATTGGCCGGACACTATTAGCAACAACGTACTGTGGGAGAGAACAAACCAGATCCCAGTGGAGGAAAAAATCAGGAAGAATCGCTGGAAGTGGATTGGACACACATTGAGGAAAGCACCCAACTGCGTCACAAGACAAGCCCTCACATGGAATGTTCAAGGCCACAGGAGGAGAGGAAGACTAAAGAACACATTACGCCGAGAAATGGAGGTAGACATGAGGAGAATGAACAAGAATTGGATGGAATTAGAAAAGAAGATGGAGGACAGAGTGGGTTGGAGAATGCTGGTCGGCGGACTATGCTCCATTAGGAGTAACAGGCGTAAGTAAGTAAGTAAGTAAGTAAATAAGTTCTGACGATTAAGGATGAATTTCTTTAAACTTCGATGAAATAAAATAAAATAAAATATTCGTAAGTTTTTGTCAAAGGTAAAATGTAGTGAATATAAAACACTTGATCATCAATTGATTCACCTATCGGTTATCTACATATTTCTCTACCGATACTGACATAATGAACATTGACAATAAAAAAAATCCGTCTTGTGCACAGTAAGATGTTAGTTCTTTTCGAATAGACTTCATCGCTCACGTTTATTCTGTTTGAAGTGTGTCTTGATAATATAGTTTAAAAACAGATATGTTGATTGCCTAGATGTCCTTGAAGGAAAAAGTAATAGAGTATTGATTTTTCATCAAACCAACATTTTGATCGACTGTACTGAATGACAAGAGTATGAATATTGAATTTCAAGCCATTATTTTCAACACTTTTTATGATATTGAAAGTATCCTACGTTTTCTTGTAAACATTTTTTGATTTTCTAAATAGTTGCTTAAATGAATGTTCATGATTCACTTTTGACTTGTTGTATTAGTTTTCACATTCACATCACATTTTAATAGATCATGTTTACTGGTATACTAAATAACCGCAATTCCTTCATCAGTCAAATCCTGGTACAAATAAATGGTGCATATAGGCTCCAGTATCCTGAGGGAACAAATGGCGTATGAACCAATTGTTGGTCACCAGCTACCATGGGACTGCATCTCCTTACGTTGATACACTGCCTTGTAGATCAGACCTTCAGGTCAAAGGATCGGGGAGTGACCCCCTAAGTAAACCACCTGCTTCGGTTTACGCACCCGGGCAGTATCACAGCCCTCACACATATCGAATGAGATTTGTGTGGCGCATATGTATTTGGTGTCTCCTTGTACCAATATCTATGTGTTAAAATAAATAAATAAAATAAGTGAATATGAAGTTTGATTCATAAAAGAAAATGTAGTAAATCGACATTTATGTACATCACATTTATGCGAAAAGTCAGTTATTGTTTGTTCTACGCTTCACTTACATTTTTTCCACGCTTTACACACTTTGAATGAACACACTAGGATTGTTATTAGCATTGTAATGACTAAGATTATGGTAATTCTCAAATACTTCTTGCTTAATGGTTTCTACACTCCTTATGAAATTAATAACCATACCAATTTACAATGAAAGGATATCTTGATCTGAATAGTTTTCATCCATATGTGTACTCTTTTGTATTGCAAAGTTTTTTTTAATGTGCTGGTTGCCATGCAACTATTTCATGCTTCCACTCAATCTTCATCTATTTTTTAAGTATCATATATTGTGTGAGTAAATGTCATCATTGTTGTGTATCGTAATGTTTCATTCAGATGCTAATAATTGATATACGACACTGTTTTGCACAATACTGATACATATATTACTTATATCGAAATTTTACTAAGGAACTAATATACAAGTCAAATCATCAATCACTTCAATTTATGATATGTATTCACTAGAAAGCTAAATATGGTATCACAAATAGTGATAAGTGCCTCAAAGACAGAACAGAAAGTCAAATGTCTACATTTTTCTGTTTCGTTAAGTAACATGTGAAAAAAATTGTAAGCAGAAAATACCAACATCAGTAATATTGCAGTGAATAAAAACACGGGTGGGGACAATCAAATGTGTTTGACACTAAAATTACAGACTATTTCAATAAAATATGAATACCATATAGTAAATCGTCAATTTGCAAAATATTAATGCATCATATCAAACTGAACTGTTTCTGTTGCAAACACCAATCCATTGTCTCTCATTCCATTGTTCATGCGTTTTCCAACAAATTTCATTGTGTTCTCCCTCTTTTTTCTTGATCTTCTCCTCATCTTCCTCTGCCAGACATTACGTTCCTGACTCGCATAATATACTACTTACATCAATATAAGTAGCACACTCCACAATATAACCACAGTTATTAAAACTGTCACTATTGGTTTAGGAGAATTGAATGTCATTAAAGTTCTCAATTAGCTTTTTATCATGAAATTCTATTTTGAATACTGAATAAATGAATACTTAATGAATAATACCTCAATTCATTCGGAAATGATGGTCGATAGGGCTGAACTGCAACTAAGAGGGTATGGATTACTTCTAATAAATACATTTCAATGATTATGTCTTTAGGTCTCTCAATGAGCTTGCTTAACTTTTAAACTATTAAGTGGAATTTCAATCGTTCACATATTTAATCTCATTCATTTCTTGATACAGCCATACGATTGTAAGATACAAACAACGGTTTCTATCTTCTAATGTAAATTAAGTCCATCAGTCTGAACTTTCTACTCAGGTACTTTGAGAGGTAAATGCGTCAATCCAGATAAGAACTAAATCAATCATTCTCTATTAAACTAATTTTAAATAATCTTAGTTTAATGATTTACCCAATTTGCATTACTTTCAGGAACATTCCAAGATCCTATCAAATCTTGATAACCAAAATCAGAATACTGAAGCAGAGTTAAAAATGAAGAGTTTAATCAAGAAATTTTGGAAAATTCAAATATTTGTTTATGAACATACTGAAGAACTGAAAGCACAAAAACACATTTATCAACTTTATAGGTAAGTTTTGCTATCGTTATCATGGCTCTCGTAATCATCATCATCATCAAACAATTTATAAATGATCAGAAAGACGTTTTGTGGATATTATAGTGATTTAATAGTTGAATCTATGAGTCAATTAAAGCTAGATCATCATGAAAAACCTGTTGTGAAATAGTAACTCACTAAAGGCTCAATTCCGTGGATTGGTTGAAGTTAGACATTGATACTATTGGATGCTGACTATGTGGTATAGAGCTTAAGCGTTCGTGCACAAAACTGATTGGTGCTGGGTTCAAATCTCACAAGCGGGATCGTGAATGCGAACTAGTGGAATGAAACAACCATCCAGTGCTTCCAGGTTTTTCATGATGGTCTAGCTTTCATCGATTCATAACTATTAAATTTATAAATCATTGAATCATTTTATATATCTAGTTAGTACTATAGTGGAAATGTTTCGATATCATTCATTCAAAACAATGTATATCATTGATGAATCATAATTTTCCTAACCTTTGTCACAAAGCTTTTAAACTAGCGCGATATCCGGACCAAATCGATAAGAGGATTCCATTGACCTAATTAAACAAACATGACTTCATTAAAATTGAGTTTTATTTATTGCGTGTGAGACCAGTTACATTCATTTTAATAAACAATCCTGTTCAATTAAATTATCAGAGCGTAAACAAATATACATATTTATTATTATCTTGATGCACGCAATTATGCTGAGGTATTCTGAGATAATACAAACGAAATATAAACTTTTGAGAATCTGCCATCCACAGAGTGAAGGTTATTAGATTGTAAATAGTTGCCAATTGACAACAAAATCTGACATGTGTAATATGTAAATGAATTTCATTTTTATTTAAAATTATAAAATTAGATACAATTTTTTTTTATCAGAAGGGGTTTGTGGAGATTTTTAGAAATTTCACAGATTGAAATCATGAGTCCATTGAAGTTAGACCACCATGGAAAACATGGAAGCACTGGACGGTCGTTTCGTCCTATTGTGGGACTCCTCAGTCAGTGTGCATCCACGATCCCGCACCCCACGAGATTCGAACCCAGGATCTATCAGTCTTGCGCCAATTTTTTTATGAAAATTAAATAGAGACCCTAATGAAAGGTTATCCAGGTCACTTATGTGCTATAATTATGTAAAACCGCAAAACTGCATTCCAAGATGTTTTTAGTGGAAAAGAATAGTTCACTCTTTCAGATGCATATTATGAGCAGAATGACACAGAATTATGTTTTATTAGTATTCTAAAAAGATATCATTTTAAATAATATTGCGTGTGATTAATTTAAGGTGAAACAGTCGATCTTCTTTTGACGATGGAAACTCAAAAGAATATAAGGTCATTTCGGTTCAAGTTAGAGGAATCCACATTTAACGTCCCTTATATGTTACAACTCTAACAAGCTTAAATATATTTAACAATGAGGTATAACATAAAGTTATTCCATACAACTCAGTTTTCATGGATGGTTTAACTAAAGTTAGATAGTTTCATTTGTGTAGTCTCCATAACTTGATTTGTTCTATCGATGCTAAGTGTATAAATAAATGATGTATGATCACTTTTCCAATAATTTACCTTATAAAAAAGTGTACTTCAGCTTTAAATAGCCTGAATATGATTATTGAATGTTTTTTTTTTTCAGAGATTTAGAAAATGAGAGGATTTGGACTCATGAAAAACTTCTTTTAGCCGATAACACTTATATTGGTCGTTCCTTATTTGCTGTAAATCAGCTAATCAGGCAACATCAATTACTCATAAAAGAAGTAGCCAATAGGAGAAATAGAATGGAAATCGCGATACAAGTGGGTAAATTTCTAAACTATGAGTATTCATGCTATTTGGCATAAGATTATTATATTTGACACGACTTACATTGCATATTCTTTATCAATGGTTTTTTGTAAATAATAATACCAACTGAGAACATAATGAACTATATACCTGTTTCTTCTCCACTGAAACTTGTTGGATGTGGTTAAAAGCAATTGAGTATCAAGTCAGTCAATGATCTATTGTTAATGTATCAGAAAATGGTAGGAATCGTGTTATTTAAGATCTATAGGTATCATTGTAGTGAACAGAACACGGGTGGAGACAATCGAATGTTTTTAGCACAAAATTACAGAGTTACTTGGTAAAATAGAAAAACCATATAGTAAATCTTTTTGATTGAGATCATGAACCGATTGATGTTCGACCACCACAATTGAAAACCTGGAAGCACTGGACGGCCGTTCCGTCCTATTGTGGGGCTCCTCGGCAGTGCGCACCCACGATCCCGCCTGCGGGGTTCGAGCCCGGGGCCTCCGGCCTCGCGCGCGAACGCTTAACCAACCGAACCACTGAGTCGGCATCGAGTGGCGATAGTTTCTAACATCAATCCAATAATTCGCATCTGACCAACTCAATGTCCGTTTACTAATTTACCTGCTCTTGTAGAGCTAGGTATATAAGTCGTTCGATGCGTACTTTATCCAAAATAATCATTCAATCGTAAAACTCTCAAATGTTAGAGACATGTTCAAGCAGGATTTCTCCAAAAAGTTAATCTATACTTTAATTAATTCTTATTCATAACTGTACATCATTATATTCTGAACTATTTGTTGATTATGCTTGTTGTTCAGTAATGAAATCATGAAAGCTTCATCATTAAGTTATGACCTTCAGAGAACTCAATCTTTATATCCTCAACTTAAGTTACATTTATTCTTTATCGTTTACAGAAATAATGATAGATTGTAGTGAACAAGAACATGGGTGAAGACAATCGAATTGTATTTAACACAAAATTACAGAGTTACTTGGTAAAATAGAAAAACACTATAGTAAATCGTTAATTTACAAAATATCAATCCATCATATCAAACTGAACTGTTCCTGTTGCAATCATCAATCCATTGTCTCATATTTCATTGTTCATGCGTTCTCTTACAAATTACATTGTGTTCTCACTCTTCCTTTCTTGATCTTCCCCCATCTTCTGCTGCCAGACGTTGCGTTTTTAACTCGCGTCATATACTACTTACAACAATATAAGTAGCACGCATCACATCATTACCAAGATTTGACTTGATAGTTTCAAATAAATTGAGCATTAGATTGATTGTTATAAATAAATTAATATATATTTGTAATATCTCAATGAGTAGAGAAAGTAAATTTTTCGACCTTTCGTGACTCTCTGATTCTCTGAATAAGTGGCTTACTCTGAGTTATGAAACGTCAGAAAATTTAATTTTTCTACTCATTGAGATATTACAATGTTATAACTCAAAGGGCCGCCGATTAGAGGGTAGTGACTTATCGATCGGATCAAGGGATTCAAAATCTCGATAGACTATTCTGGTCCGTTGTCCCCGACTCAGCTAACGCGATCAAGAAGTCTTGACAAGGCGTAGAAAGTGTATTCTACAGGCAACCAGCAGATATCAGGTCAGGTCAAGTCAAGTCAATCAGGCACACAAATCAAGCGTATTTATACAAATATTTATAATCGATACTGACATGGAAATCTTTTTAAGCATTCATCAATAAGTTCGTCAATTGACTGCTATTTAAACATTTAAACATTTAATCGATAAGATGAAATTAGAAAATATGAATTTTGGGGATCTATCGTTCCCAACATAGAAATATATTAATTTTCTTTATACTTAGATTTATATTTTCAACATATGAGTAAAACACATGGGATCAAGTGGTTTATAACAGTAAAAGAGTTATGAAATCAACTAATCTAGTTATCTACATTAAGTAGTTGTAACTACGAATTGCATATACTGAGGTTCTTTTCATCTCACCTGAATTAACTCAAACCCTGAAAGACATTCTCACACCAATCAAAGGATCTGCTGTTTTTTTAAAAAAAAATGATTGGTTTATTCACTTTGAATATTATGTACGTTATCAGAAATGAAAGTAGAGACGACCAATTTCTAACTCAGTAGTCAAGAGACACTATTCTCCTAGATTTTATTCCTTGTCGAGTTATGAATGTGTTTCTGACCTGAAAACCTATTTTTTGCTCATCTAAATGACTATCTACTTTTAAATATTTTGCGATTATAATCTACAAAGATTTTTTCAGGATGAAATAAACTACTCTATTGTTTAGGGGCAGTAATAGAAAGTTTATTCCATCCAATTGGTTATCACAGGGTATTTTTATATCTAACCTAAATGATAATCAGAAAAAAAGAGAAGAAATCATACGTTCCTATCTCCATTAATCACTATTTGACATTAATTTGGAGTAACGGAAAAAAACAAGCCCAGTTACTGCGATTTGTTCACATAAATATTTAGGGGGTGGTGGTGGGAGTTTATTTCAGTTTTCTATCACGATAACTCATTGTATTGTATCTGATATTTCTTTTCTTTTTTTTTACGTTTCTAGGATGCAGATCATATTATAACGAAATTTCAATCAACGTTTGAAATAGTCATTGATGATGATGATTGTAAAACGATTCAACAATCAAAGATTAGATCGTCTGAGAAAACAATAACCATTCAAACAGACGATCATTCTATCATTGAAATTGAATTATCCACTGATATAGGTGTAAAATATAAAATCCCTAAGAAAATTCTAATTGATTTGCATACATTAGTGATAGAATTACGTTATGATTTAAAAAATCTGATTGATCGGATGTCTAAACGTACTGAACGATTAAATATAGGCTTTCAATGTTTTACACATCTTGGTGAATTTGCAGAATTACGCAGTTGGTTACAAGAGTGTGAAGATATGTTACTATTAGAATCAAGAGCTAGTCGTGATATAATTACAGCTAAAACTGAACTTAAAAAACATGCTCATATTGAATTTCGTGTAAATACGCTGTTAGCAAATTGTGTTCGTGATTTCAGTAAGTTTTACAATTTTTTCGATCATTATTTTATGTAAATCAGTTAGTTTTAAAGTTTTCAATTATGAGTGCTGTGTGTACACATTTCATAAGCAGTATAATTATCAATAATAAAGCAAGGTGTACCTGGTCGCGGCCCAGATAGCTCAGTGGTAACGTCTCTGACTGTGAAGCTAGGTGGCACGAGATTGAATCTGTCAGGAAACACCAGTTCCCTGAAGATTACAGGTACACCTTGCTGACGAGTGCCAAGTAGCACGAAACCCGTGTCCAGGGTTTCCTGTCGACTACCTCCAATCACCATCTAAAATCTCTATATATAGTGCCCGCAGTATCGAGTCACCTAGACTGGTAGCCACATTGCATCATGATCGATAGCATTCGATCTGTACTAATAAGGACTGGACATGCATGACATTGATCGCCACCCAGTGACCAATCAATTGTGATTACATGGGTATATGTTTGGTTGTCTGTTTGACTTATCTCTTAAACAAATTCAACAATTAAACCATACTTCACTCGAAGCTTACTTTTTATACATTAGGCTTTTTGATATCTCGACACTGAAGTCATCTGATTATCCAACAATTTTTGGTCTAAAATATATATCAAAATAAGTGGGATCATCCATAATCAAAATCAGAGTGGACCCTAACATGCTAATCGAGCCGGAAATGTCTTTCACCAGTACTTGTAAATAATACCAAGTTGTTTATTCAGTAGCGATGACGGAATTATATTGGTGAAATAGTGTCAAAGGTTTGATTAACCTGACATTATACAGGATTGTATTTTCACTAAATTATCAGATCTTAGTAAGATAAGTAGTATGTTACTGAAATATCATTTGCAGCTTTTTGTAGTAGTATATTCATTCAATCTAACATTACTATTTTCAGTGATCTGTTATCTCACAAGTTGAAATCATGAGTCAATTGAAGCTAGACCACCATGGAAAACCTCGAGGCACTGGACGGCCGTTTCGTCCTAGCATGGGACTCCTCAGCAGTGCGCACCCACGAACCCGCACCCCGCGGGATTCGAACCCAGGACCTACTGGCTTCGCGCGCGAGCACTTAACCATTAGACCACTGAGCCGGCATCCAACGGTGTTAATGTCTAACTTCAACCAATCCACGAAGTTGCGCCACAAAAAGAAGTTTTTCTATTTTGCTTAATACCATCCCTACATTTACACTTTTTCATTTGATTTCCTTGAATATTGCCAATAGTTGACTAATCACGAAACTCTATTCTGTTGGTTTATTGTTATCGAATTTAATGTTTATTATACTCTGAAGGTTTCAATTAAAGTAAAAGTGAAATCTGTCAACAACATTCATATCATATTGTGGATAAGTACTGCTATCCAACATCCAATATCATGTAAATATAAGTGAAAGCAATAACAGTTTTCCAATAAAAAGGCATATCCTGTTCATGGGTAGTTCTACTACTATCATGAACGGCTTACAATAATAAATAGTACACCCGGAAAAAACCATTTTATTAAGTTAGTTATTATTATGGGAAAACTTTAGGTAGACAATCTTTGAAAATCAAGTAATACTTGTTAAGCATTTTATGTTAATACGGAATTCCTCAGTATTGTGTAACTACCATCTAAATAAAAATCAAATCTATGGTACCAATTCTTCACGGCAAATTATTAATCTGTAAATCACTGAGCTGGGATACAATAGTTCACGCTTTTTGATTATCGATAATTAGCATTACTAAACGACCGCTATAAATTGCTCTTATAGTTCAAATCCTTTTAAGTTAATTTTTACATGCTAATTTTATGCCAGACTGCGCGATCAATGATTGTGACATATCAGATCCTCACAAATTTATTCATTTACAACAGTATAATCACATTTCATGATTTGTATTCACACGAATAAATTCCAAATTCTACAACATAACATGATTGGAAAACGTTTTAATATGCGGTTGTTTTATGAATGAAACCTATGTATGTTAGATGATTTTTGATTTCTGACCATTTCCCCAACGAAGCTGAGTAAAGACTTTGGTGGAGTTTTGTTCTGTGAGCTGGATGGTTTGGTCGTGGAGCTTTCATCGTTCTTCTGAATGACATCATCAGCACAAACTTCAAATAGAAGTGAAGTGTTTGAATTTCTCCATATGTGTTTCAAAGCTTGTTCTATGAACCTCGATGTTGATTGGTTCTTATTGACCTTAAATTCGTCATTGTTTACTTCTTTGTTTTGGTTGTGTCCCCCATTGTTTTGATTTTTGTTCTTTCTGAGTAATGACTGCCGAGTCAAACATGAGTGTTATTTCTAATTTTGGATAAATATAGTTTCTTCGAAGAAACTCAAAATCTCTTAAGCGACATGCATCAAACTTCTAATTTTCACCTCTCGAATTCTTTTACAAATATGGCTTCCATTTTTAATAATATCTGATACATATTGGATACCATTGTAAAGTTGTTCGTACAAATTTCAAAGAAATTGTAAATGAATTTCTTAAGTTATATGTGAATATTAATGTCAATATCGATATAAAAATGTTCAGTCAATTGCTTTTTCATCACCACTTTAAAATATCTAGTCACATTCTACTCATTTTTAAAAATTAAGTAGTAAGCATAGGTAGTCAAGAAGTAATTGCATTTACAGAGAGAGAGAAATCCTTGAATCTGTGTAAAATGGGAAGAGTAACTTTGGTACATACTTTAATGATACTTTACAAGTAAAAATACAACTAAATTAATACAAAACTAGATCGAGCCGATCTCTAGCTTTATGCCATTTTGTTTTAGTTGGAGGAAACTTAATTATTCATATGTGTATTTCGTTTTAACTATCAAAAAATCTATTGAATATTTGATATGCTGTTGTTGTTGTTGTTGTTGGTATCGTTGCTGTTGTTTAAACTCAAATCGTAATCGGTAAAAAAAAGCATCTAAGTTATATCTCTGTGATTCAACAAGTGATTATATTGTAGTGTCGGTTGCTATGTTCAGCCCATATACCTTATTCTAGCTTCTGGACAGGCCAGTTTATCCGTTCTTCATGAGAATCAAACATTTTGACCTTGTTAATTATTCGCTTATCAATCTTGACTTTTGTTATGTGAGCGTATATATGTGTGTACACTTCTTATCCTATTCATTACATGTTTGTAACTTAGTTTTGTGTGACTATAAATATTGATTACCACTTGATGAAATGAAGTTGGTTCATAAACCTTCTCCACCGCGTGTCATTTCGCTTCACTCTCTTTTATTCGCCTCATCCTTCTCATTTCCTGTCCCATTCCCGTATCTGTTATTCACCACCAACGCGATTTAACTGAAGGATTATGTACGAGAATAGTCGACATGTGTATTTCAATGACAATCAGTATGCAATCCAATTGGAGTCAGATATTAAAACTAAACTAATAATGAACTAAGTGAATTTCATTTATTACAATTAGAATTATTCTCTTTCTAGATTTCAGATAATCTATATATTACGACTTTTTGACGTCTATTTAGCATTCAACCATGAAAAAGTGATTAGTTTTATAAGTGGACTGTCAAAACTATTATGTATAATTTGTTTTACTTATGATTTAACATTGAACAAGAAAGAAAAAGACTGTTGATTTCATTTAACTAGGCAACTAGGCAACAACACTATCAAATAAAATTTGTTTCAATATATATTGAAGTAGATTTCAAGTTGTTGGGGGTTTTTTGTGGTTGTTGTTGTTGCTGTTCATAATTAAAATAATAATAATATTATTATTATGCTTCATTCAAAACCTAAAAGACATGAGAACGATTGTTTCACATCCCACTGTGTTTACCAATTTAAATGTGTGTGTGGTCACACATACATAGGGAGGAGCAATCGTGATCTCAACATTAGATTAGGGTCAGTGAACATGTACCCAAATGGCTACGGAAACAAATATAATCAGGTGACCCAATAAGAGCAGAGGATAAACATCCATCATCCTCTATTGCTAAACATATAATTGAAATAGGTCATAAGATTGATCTAAACTCAGCTTTTGTGGTGTTGTACAAGGGTAAAAGGGCGTATACTAAGGTTTATTGAAGCCTTAACTATACGAAATTTCAACCCTCCTATGTGTGTTCAAAAACAGTTTGTTCTTACCTTAAACCTACTCTGGTAATATAATATTGACTTATTATTCACAGTGATTTGGTTTTGAATTGTGTTCTTATTATTATTATTACTTCACAAGTTGAAATTTCTAAAATCTCCACAAACTCCTTCTGATAATAATCATCTGCTCACTAGTGACTGATTTCAAGAGATACTCCTGGAGTTCTAGTGGGAATCCATTACCAGTGGAGTTCAACCAGGTCTGTTGTGAGATATTAGCTCACTGAAGACAATGGTGTATGGTGGCACAACTTCGTGGATTGGTTGAAGTTAGACATTAACAGTGTTGGATGCTGGCCGGCTCAGTGGTCTAATGGTTAAGTGCTCGCGCGCGAAGCCAGTAGGTCCTGGGTTCGAGTCCCGCGGGTTGCGGGATCGTGGATGTGCACTGCTGAGGAGTCCCGTACTAGGACGAAACGGCCTTTCAGTGCCCCCAGGTTTTCCATGGTGATCTGGTCTCAGATGACATTTCGAATTGTTTATTCATTTATTCTTTAGAGAAGTAGCTTACACAAAGTCAAATTATATCAGCAATTCAATTTCTTTCGTTTTACTCATTGACACATTGGAAGTTTATTATTTTATGATGATGAATATTGTATTATTAAAACAGTAGGGTAGACATAGTCAATTGATCAAACATCTAGGACATCACTATTTTTTTAAATGTTCATTGAATGATCTAAATTTGTTTTGAGAAACTTTTGTTAACTATCCGTCACCTAAATGTATATTTCCTCATCAAAAATATTTATAACCTATCACAAATTGAATTACAGAGAAAATCATGTAGAGCAACCACAGTTGTTCGATGAAAACTACGCTAATGCTAACGATTGCATCGCAATATTCATGGAATCCTCTTTTTGGTGGAGTTTTGTTCTTTGAGCTGGATGGTTTGGTCGTGTGCGACCACCAAAATCATCCACCTGAACTACAAATCTTCTCCACCATCTCATGTTATCCTCACTTAGTCAATACTTTCTTGTTAGTTAGTTAGTTAGTAAGTTAGTTAATTAGTTGAAAGCAACGTATATGTTTTGTAACATTCGTTTCAAATTCAAGTGTATGAGGCTTAAATCAGTTAAAAAGAATCAATGGAATAAACAAATTAATTTTGACTTGTGCTGATGGGCGGCCTATACTCCTTCACGAGGAGTAACAGGAGTAAGTAAGTAATGACTTATACTAGGAACTGAGACTAATTGACTTCTGTTCAATTATTGAAAATTACCGTTTACTCATCAGTATTGTAAACGTAAGTCTACTTGTAGTCATCAGTAATTTTTTTCTTTATTCAATTCAAGAATATTACTGGACTATGATTATTGATTCCTTTTATTCGTGTTTGAAATCATTGTGAAGTTGATATATTACATTTTGTCTAAATTATTAATTACATTTTACTGGACACATGGGACTTGAGATTTGAGTTATTTTTGTGTGTGTGTGTGTTTACTGTCGTTCCGTATTTATCTACTCAGTTTATTTGTCTAGTTTGTATGATGTGCATAAAATCGTATTTTACTTTTGATGAAGTTCTTCATTAATTTTTATGAAAAGTTATTATTTAAATGGGTATATACATATGTTTAGAAGTAAGTTACTTACTTACGCCTGTTACTCCTCGTGGTGGAGTATAAGCCGCCCACCAGTAATCTTCATCCAAACATGTTCTGGTCAATCCATTCCATTTGTTTCCGATTGCTACTCATCCTTTTCATATCTCCTTCCATTTCCCAACGTAATGTGTTGTTTAGCCTTCCTCTTTTCTGTATCTCTTCACAATTCCAAGTTAGCGATTGTCTCGTGATGCAGTTTGATGATTTCCTTAATATGTCTGCTATCCAATTCAAGAGTGTTTTCCTAATTTCCTCTTCACCTGCAAGTTGGTTTGTTCTCTTCTACAGTAGGCTGTTGCTGATGGTATCTGATCAAAGGACATTGATTAACTTGCTTAGACAATTGTTTATAAATACTTGTAGCTTTTTGATGATGATGATGATGATGATGATGATGATGATGATGATGATGATGATGATGATGATGATGATTGATGTAGTTCTCTAAGTTTCAGCTTCGTACGGTAGGACTGTCTCGACGTTCGTATTGAAGATTGTGACTTTGATATTGGTTGACAGGCAGTTGTTTTGAGTTCCGTATGTTCTTCATAAAAATTCGTAATAGACCTCAAATTAGTATTTGATTTCTGCTGTAATCCATAATGAAATAATTTCAATTTACCACTTATGAACAATAAAATAAGTCGTTTTAGGTGAAACATGTTTCAGTAATAATAATACAAAACAATTCTTGTCTCAGACAAATACAAAATTTAACGTTTTTTAAAGTGGAATCCAGGATGCGCGTTTCGTCCTGTTTGGGACTCGTCAGTTGGATGTACCTGCATCCACTGCTAGTCACTATCCATCTGTGCTTATAATGCTTGTAAATTAAGGCAATATCGAGGCATACGCACAGTATGCACATATGCCAATAAGAGACTGATCAATTTCAGTCCAAAAATATCAATGGGAAGATTCAAGTAAAACAATATCAAGTGAATGATACAAGATAGCTATTCTTACGACGTCAATTTACTATTAGGAGAAACGTTTCTGAAAAAAAAGACAGACATCCTGTTACACATCAGTGAATTAAAGATCATACATACTCTTGATGTGTCTGATTTGAAACTATCAACTTCCATCAGAAGATTAGTACTTCAAGCTTTTAAATTCATTTCAAATAAGAATTTTAGTAAAGCAAATAGAAACGTTTCGGAAGTTCATCAAACTTATCAACGCATGCTTCAAATGAGGTAATAAGATATTAAGTTCTTGTTTTTTGTTATTTAGCAATGAGTATTGCATTGTTGATGAATTAATACATACCCTGATGTAGTGGATATTGTAATAAAATATTCAAAGATTGAATAATATAGAAACTAATGTTGTAGTCATTGAAAATGAAGATTCCACCAAGTCTTCATTGTTTTTTTTTGAATATGTGTTAGAATTACAACTAAACAGGACGTATATTTACTTCATGTTGTGGTGTATGATATATTCTGATAGCTCCCGAATGCCCTGGTATGGCCGAGAGTGGATTGTGCCCACCGTCCCTCTAGAAATACTCTCACACGACCACGCATGTACAGCCTCTGCCAGAGAAGTTCTACTCACTACCTTCTTGTGGCCACAGTGTTGTTTACGAAAATGAGAGAACGAAATGCGAATGTCCGGCGCTTTAACCGGATTCCAAACTAATGGTGCACATGGGCTCCAGTATCCTGAAGGAACAAATGGCTACCATGGTACTGCATCTCCTCACAATGCTCCACTGCCTTGTGAATCAGACCTTTAGGTCAAAGGCTTGGGGAGTGGCCCCCTAAGAGAACCACCTGCATCAGTCTTGGCGCCCGGGCAGTATCACATCCCACACACACAAATATGGTGTGGCGCATATATATTTGGTGCCCTCTTGTACCAATATTTATGTGTTCAAATAATAATAATAATAGTATGATATTTTCTGATTGTTTGTGTTTTATTTTTTGGGAATAAAAGATCAGAAATCATTGAAACTAATCAATGAATTTTTGGAACGTAAAGAAAAATACAAAAATCAACTAGATTTAATTAAAACAAATGAAAATCTACAAAAAGTTGTTGAGCAATTGTCTGCAATGCAAGTTGACCAACGAACTACTCAAAGTCAATGGTCACAGTCTATTCTACATGATGAGAATATGAATAAAGTAAAACAAAGTTCATTTGAGAATTTAATAAATCGTCGTAAACTTCGTAGTCAAATTAAACAAATACGTAAACGTATCCAAGTTATACAGTCTATTCAACGAATTATGGATCGTCAATATGCAAGTCTATTAGATGTTTGCGTACAGAAACGTCAACGTTTAGAAGAAATTCTATCTTTGAGCATTGTTTATGAAGAAGTTTCAGAATTGAAAGTAAGTTCAGCTACCTTATTAATATATGTTTCTTACATCGAGCGTTTTGAGTGAGATCTTATACAAAATATATTCAAACTGAAGTTGAGTTATCTTTATTATGTCTAGTCATTGTTGTTATACTAACTTTAATATATGAGTCTTGATTGAACTTATTTATATTTATTATTATTTCAGCACATAAATATTGGTACAAAAGGGCACCAAATATATATGCGCCACACCATATTTGTGCTTGTGGGCTGTGATACTGCCCGGGCGCCAAGACCGAAGCAGGTGGTTTTCTTAGGGGGCCACTCCCCAAGCCTTTGACCTGAAGGTCTGATCCACAAGGCAGTGGAGCATCGTGAGGAGATGCAGTACCATGGTGGCCGGTGACCAACAATTGGTTCATACGCCATTTGTTCCTTCAGGATACTGGATCCCATGTGCACCATTGATTTGGGATCCGATTAAAGCGCCGGACAATCGCATTTCGTCCTCTCATTTTGATAAACAACACTGTGGCCACGAGAAGACAGTGAGTAGGACTTCTCTGGCAGAGGCTGTATATGCGTGGCCGTGTGAGAGTATTTCTAGAGGAAGGGCGGGCCCATCCCACCCTCGGCCATACCAAGGCATCTGGGGGCCTTGATTGAACTGTATTTAAATATATTGATAAAACACCAAATAGTGATGCTTAGGATGAACTTCTTTATATTTCTATGTTGTACTATGTTTTACTTAACAATATTATTATCATTAGGATTATTAGAATTAGAATATCGACAACCAATACAAATCTGCAACTAGATTACATTGTTTCAAAAACTTATTGACTTTATAAATGATCTTGATTGATTATGAAAAAGAGTGTATATATATACACCAAAGTAATCACTATTAATGAACTAGACAGCTAAGACTACAGAAACTCCAAATGATTGATGTACACTAATGAATTATATTATTCGAAATCATATTGCTCAACTATGATGAATATGGAAACATGGATCTTTAGTGAAGATGACGTTTATATTCACAACAACTGGATAGAAACACTTTACATTGATTAAAAATAGAATGAAAAAATGATATCTAAACAAAAACGTGTTAAGGTAAACATACACGATCAAACAATACGTTTTAACATAAAATTGATATCTCATAGGCAGAAACGTGTCTGACGTACTACCTGCCATTCTTCATAATTACTTCAAAATGATCAGATTTCACGAAGATCTGCCTAATTCACCAGTCATACTTTAGCCAAACATCGAAGAACACTAGTCACTCGATAAATTTCAAAGTTTATTAAAAATTTATTACACAACCAAGCTTTCAAATGTAAGAAGGGTTTGTCCCCACAACTTCACTACATGAAGTTCAAAAATTGGAATGACCTAGTACATAAAATTATGCTTCTACTAGGAATCAAAAGTTTTCAAATTAAAATGTAGTCATCGGTAAAATTTAAAGTAATTTCACTTTGAAATATTGGCAAAAGTCAAATAAAAAGATATAAGCTTGATTTATTTACTGTGTGATAATGCCCAAGGCATGCAATCCGCACTTAATCAGTTGGCAATCAGTGTCCGTAGGTATGGTATGCGCTTTGCACCGTCGAAGTGCAAAGTACTTCTACAAGACTGGCAGGATTCTAATCCTGTAGTCACCCTGGATGGTGAGCAGATAGACGTAGTCGAGAAGTTCATGTATCTAGGTAGCTGCATAAGTGCTAGTGGGGGTGTGAGTGATGAGATCAATGCACGAATAGTGAAAGCCAGAGCGGCTTATGCCAATCTGGGCCACCTTTGGCGCCTTCGTGATGTTAGTCTGGCTGTAAAAGGTCCGAACTACAACGCGTCGGTGAGAACAGTTTTGCTCTATGCTTGTGAAACCTGGCCTCTCCGAGTTGAGGATGTTAGACGACTCTGTGTTCGGTCATCGTTGTCTCCGAAGGATTGCTGACATTCAGTGGCAACATCATGTCAGTAATGCAGAGGTTCGGCATCGTGTGTTCGGGCACAGAGATAATAATTCAATCGATGTCACCATCTTGAAACACCGACTTCGGTGGCTTGGGCATGTTCTACGAATGTCGTCCCAGAGAATTCCATGTCGTGCATTATTTGCCGACTCTGGGACTGGTTGGAAAAAGCGAAGGTGGTCAGTGTATGACATGGTGTCGTGGTGTGAAAGAAAGCTGCAAAGTGCTGGCTTCTGTCGGTCCTTCACAACTACCTAGCTGGGGTCCAAGAGATGGTGCGACACAGTGGCTAGAGATGTTATCAGGTATGGCTCAGAACAGAAGCCAGTGGCGATCCTGCTGTAACCTTCTTTTACTTTCTTCATAAAAAGTGGTTCTATCTTCCTTAACTAAAAGGATTCTTTCTTGTTGTACCTTTTTGTTTCCCTCATTATTATTACTATCACACTACCTTAGACTAATCTGGTCGTTATTGTTCTCTTTTTTTTCTCAGGCTCCTTACCTTTTTTTCCTTCTCTTTAAATTCTCATTTGATTTGTGTGGTGCATATATATTTGGTGCCCTCTTGTACCAATATTTATGTGTAATAAATAAATAAATAAACTAAATTACCCGATCCACGATGATCAATACTTCAAATGAAATTTTGAACGACATTATATCCGAATTCAGTTATTAACATACAACAGATCAATTTAGTTAGCTGACGATACTGAAGTTTAAACAATTTGGTCGATAGACCTACTGATTTAAATTTTAAGTAGTTTGTTCTCCTTAACGTTTTTTACTGATTATAATTTCAAACATTATTTAATTCGTTTTTATTAGATCAACCTTTACTGAATGCAAGATAACAACAAATCTCTTATTTGACTTTTTTAATATAATAAACATATCTGTTAGCTTCATTGTTGTAGAAGCCATACTTACAAGCGTATACGAGTTCAAAATAGTTGAGCACTCAAATGAGCCTATATGAAAGGTGAATAGTTCAGTTTTTAAACCCTTAACAATCAGTATAAATTTATATATATATAATCAGCATTCGTCTATGTATCATGATAAATGCGTTTACACGTTTATATGGTATATCTGCCTACAATTATTAACGTCATTATTGAATGTATTTGAATCGACTCATTTGAGTAAGTCATTTTCAAGGTTTGGATATAAAGTGTTTTGTGTAATACTTCATAATAGAACATACAGTGATATCTGTATCAAAAAGTTCATTGTGTCAACATGTTTGTGTTCATAAAAGTGTTTAATAATTGAATTTGCTCATATAGATTTCTCACATGTATCACATGTATCCCCGCGTGGTGCGGGATCGTGGATGCGCACTGCTGAGGAGTCCCATACTAGGACGAAACGGCCGTCCAGTGATTCCAGGTTTTCAATGGTGGTCTAGCTTCAATTGACTCATGATTTCAATCTGTGAAAATATTCTACAAATGTCATCTGATTTTTTTTTTACTTCAGAATTGGTTAAATCAACAAATCACTGTAGCTTCTTCAACATACACTGGTCGAAATTTGAATGAATGTGTATGTATTATCAATCGCTTTGTGCATTTTGGTGAAAATCTTCTAGGTGAATCTTTTACATCATTTCTGGAAGTTGAACTACATTCATTTGATCCTATTTCAACAGTATATACCATGAACATAACTGATCAATTTGTACATACATCTGGTTTAGCTTCTGAACGTACAGCAAGAGTTATGAATATGTGTCGTTGTTTAATACGTACAAAACATTCAGATTCACCACGTATTGCATTTTGGCAAGATATTATTTCAGAAACATGGGCTGATCTACGTGAATTAATTTATTCACGAGTTAAATTATTAATTTCAGCTGCTCATCGATTTATTTTTATAATTCGTTGCTATGTAAGTTTTTTGTTCTTATTCATTTTGCACTGATACACTTTCTTCATACACGTAAACGTGTCACACGAACTTTGAAAAAATATAGGAAACAGAGTTTTTGGTGGAGTTTTGTTCTCTGAGCTGGATGATTTGGTCGTGGAGCTTTCATCATTGTTCTTCTGAACGACATCATCACTATCCAGCTCAGAGAACAAAACTCCATCAAAATCATCCACCTGAGCTACAAATCTTCTCCACCATCTCATAGGAAACAGAGTCAATGATGAAACAATCGATCATGTATCGATATTATTCTCCACAATTTTCCATCATGTTAAGAATGACATTTAAATACATTTTTGTCTTGTAAAAACCGTCATTCTCTTTGTTGATCATGTTGGATTATTTTAAAATGGTAGGAACTGTACTAAGGTTACCAGTAGGTATCACATACGGGGAGATTATTTCACTGTTGAGTTATCATAAGTTATCAGCAGACATATTGTAAATCCTTTTTCCTACATTTTTCTTAATTTGATGATAAGATTTGTTTTGACATTATGGAAATTGTTTCCTCTGCATGTAATGAGTCGTTTCGATGAGGTTGGTGGTATGGTTTACTGATGATTCTGTAAACATCATGTTGCATACTAACCCTCGATGAATAATGTTCAACTAAAAACAAAGAATACATTTCTAAGACTTTTAGAGTGATTTACTAAATGAATTCATGAGTCAATTGAAGCTAGACTACCATGGAAAAAACGTGGAAGCACTGGACGACCGTTTCGTCGTAGTATGGGACTCAAGCGAAATCTGATTAAGTAATCCACTCTTCTAATTTTATTCTACGACCAAGAAAATGACAGAAAATATTAGTTCGGTCATTGAAATGTTAAGTCACTACATTGTATTGTAATTGTCAACTTGAAAGTAATCGTCTTTCACCCATTGGCACATTCTCTACTAATCACAGGAAACTTTGAAACTTGTTCAAGAAAAATCTGATCAATTGTCTCAATCCATTGGTAAAGACGTACAAGCCATTTGTAAACAACTTTCATTGTTATCTGCATTTGAACAAGATGTCCAAGCTCTTGAACCACTAGTAAGTTATTAAATCAACCGTTCATAAATATTTTGTATCACAAATTAAATAGTTGCATCTGTTAGTTCATTGGACTTAAAGTGATTATGACACAGATAATGTAAAGAATGTCCTGAGTTTCAAGTTTCTCCAGATCGGAACCAAGACTTCTTAACCAACAAAAAAGATCCATCATATTAAGAAACAAGAATATGAAAACTGTTAATAAGAGAAAGTTCCATTTCCGATGACATCGTAATCATATCTATGGTCATTCTAAATATGAAGAATATTTTACTATAAGTTGAAATACTCTTACTTGAATGATAGGTTTGTAATAGTGGCTAACAGTGGAATCCAAGACGAGCGTTTCGTCCTGTTTGGGACGTGTCAGCTGGATATACCTGCATCTCAGAGAGTTGATGTTCACTCTGGAATTCGAACCCAGTACCATTCGCTTCAAACGCCATCGCGTTATCCACTCAGCTACTGAGGTTTGTAAGTTTCAAATATCGAAAGGATTTGTATGCCATTGATAATTATTGAAATGCAGCAGTGTAAAAACTTTTTCTAGAAGAGAATTAAAGAACATAACTACCGGTACGAACAATATGATGAAAGTGAAAAGAAAAACATATAGGTTGTAAAATTAACTGATCAACAAGAATGTAAATTTAAAAAGAGATACTAAATGCTTGCTTAATTACGACTGTTACTCCTTGTGGAGGAGCGTAGGCCATCCATCTTCAATCTCCATTCAACTCTGTTCTGGGCAATCTTTTTCAGTTGTTTCCAGTTGCGATTCATCCTTTTCATGTCTGTTTCCAATACTCGGCGCAATGCATGTTTTTGTTATTCCTCTTTTCCATTTCTAATCAGGATTCCAAGTTAGCGATTGCGTCGTGATGCAGTTTGATGAATTCCTACCCACTTCTAAAGTCTTTTCCTCATTTCCTCTTCATTTGGAAGCTGGTTCGTTCTCCCTCACAGTAGGCTGTTTCTGATGGTATTCGGCAAACGAACACTGGGTATCTTCAGCAGACAATTGTTTAGAAACACTTGTACATTTTTGATGGTGGTTGTGGTAGTTCTTCAAGTTTCAACTCCGTACAGTAGGACTGTCTCGACGTTCGTAATAAAAACTCTAACTTTGATATTGGTTGAGAGTTGTTTTGAGTTCCATATGTTCTTCAATTGTAGGAATGCTTCTCTCGATTTGCCAATCCTCGCCTTTACGTCTGCATTGGATCATCCTTGTCCATTGATGATGCTGATCCGCCAGGTACGTGAAAGTCTGCACCTCTTCCAGAGTTTCTCCATCGAATGTGATTGGGTTGGTTGTTCTCCGTGTTGAATTTGAGAATCTTGGTTTTTGCCTTGCTTATGTTGAGGCCTACTGATGCAGCGGCGGCTGCAACACTAGTTGTCTTCACCTGCATTAGTTCATGTGTATGTGATCGAAGGGTCATGTCATCTGTGAAGTCTAAATCTTCTATTTGTTTCTAATCTATCCATTGTATTCCGTGCTTCACCTCAGATGTGGAGGTCTTCATAATCTAGTCAACCACCGGAAGAAAGAAGAAGGGAAAGAGTAAGCTACCCTATCTGACTCCGGTCCTCACACCGATCGAGTCTGTCAGCTCTTCTGCATTCACGACTTTGCACTGTAGTTCATCGTGTGAATTTCATATGATGATGAAGATCTTCTCAGGTACACCATAGTATCAAGAAAGGTTACATAAGTCCATCCTTTCCCAACTGTCAAGGAACTTGATTTATAGTGGCTAATGCCATCAAATTGATTGCTCAATAATGATCCATAGTGTCGCTATTTGTTCCGTGCACGACCGATCCTTACGGAATCCGGTCTGTCGAGATCGAAGCTGGACGTCTACTGAGTTTTTCGTCCTGTCCAGCGTCACTTTGTCGAAAACCTTTCCTGGTACTGTGATTCCTCTATAGTTCTCACATTTGCTCAGATCTCCTCTCCTTGGCATCTTGATGAGATATCCTTTTTCCCAGTCTGCCAGCGGCACTTCTTCCTCCCAAATCTTCCTGAATAGAACGTGGAGCTTGTTTACAGTTATTTTTGTGTCTGACTTAAGTGCTTCAGCTGGTATATTGTCAAATCCTGCTGCTTTCCCTCTCTTAATTTGTCTGATGGTCATCCTGATTTCTTTGATCCTCGATAAAGTGATATTATGCCCAAAATAATGAGCAAGTAAGTAGGTTTATGAATCATGAAGTTTTCATATTTACAGCAAACAGCGGTCTAATTTAAGTGAACAGATTTCCATTCATTACCAGGATTAATACAGTAAACAACTAGATTTCAAGTAAAAACATAAATCTAAATTTATTTTAAGACAGTTTAAGCATTTGTAGTGTTAAAAAATAAAACTATCCACTGCTTATCATCATTTTATTCAATGATACAGATTAATTGGGTAGAAAAAGCAGCGGATTACCTTCTTCCTCTTTATTCTGGTAATTGGACTAAACGTTTAAAAAAACCACGTGATATTCTTCTCTCTGTCTGGTATCAACTTAAAGATAGAACTCATCTTCGTCGTATCAGATTAAAACGTTCTATTGCATTATATCGTTGGATATCCAATTTAGATGCTTTTTTCAACTGGACCCAACAATGTCAAAAAGAATTAGAACGTATTGAAATGGATATATGGAATATGAATCCACCACAATCTACTGTAATCAAGAAATCGAATCACATGTAATGTTGAGATTTTCTATTTTTTCTATTTTGGTCATACTTTACTATGTTCTATTTGTTAAAATCCGATAGTGTTTCAAGAAGAAATGACATTTTAAGCAAGGATTAATTGGTCATGATCAACTTTGGATAACAAAAACAAACGTATCTTTTTACAAATCAAATTATATTATTTGACAGTATAGAGGTTGTGGAGATTAATAAGTTTTTTGATTGAGATCATGAATCAATCGATGTTGGACCACCGTTGGAAACCTGGAAGCACTGGACGGCCGTTTCGTCCTAGTATGGGACTCCTCAGTGGCAGTGCGCATCCACGATCCCGCCCCTCGCGCCAGACGCTTAACCAACTAGCCCGCTGTGCCGGCATCCAATGGTCTTAGTGTTAGTGGACTGGTTGATGTTAGACACTAGCGCGAGACTGATAGGTCCTGGGTTCGAATCTCGCAGGGAGCTGGATAGTATATTATTTGATTTCAACACAAGAATTTTAAATAATTCGAACAAGTTGTATAAATGCTTTTTGTAAACCTAACAATTTACAGTGGAAATTATGGCGAGACTATAATTTCTGGACTAACCAATCAGGCATAAGATAACAGGTCGTGGATTTTGGCGCGAAATTCACTCATTCATTTGACTAAATAGCGTTTTGGCATTAGATCACGATGAAAACCCTAAATCTAATACCTAGTCTTATCATCAACTGTAAATCATAATTCTAATTCTTCAAACAGGTTTATAACCCTCATTTAGTCCTAATTATTAGGTGCACACTATCAAGGTCATCATGGCATCTCTCAAAGGTCATCCATAAATTATAGTCTCACTGAAATCACTTCAGTTTTAGATGAACCATACTGAAATATCTGTAATTCAATTCATTCATAGTTATATAATATACTCTTGTGGGCCAGGATGATTTTACATTGGTTTTCAGGAGAACCAGACACCACCCAGACTTTCATGTGACAACCCAAGCAGTACAGCTCAATCCCGCTTCACAGGAGAACCAGACACCGTATAGGCTCTAACGCTAAAATCTGAATACTACAGCTCAATCCTGAGGCGCAACCACACAGGTACTGAGCACTCTGGTGGACCATTCGCACCATTCATATACACATTCACGTCACATGTATAGTTATTACGATCATTGATCGCGTGGATCAGTTATGCACATCACGAACAGGCCAAAGTTGACCTACTCCGCTACACGACAGTCAAACTCGTTAATGTTAGCAATCGTGACATGTCTTGCAATATCTCAACGACAATGGCCCTCGGGAACAGTGAAAAGCAACCACCAGTATGAATGAAATCGGTTAACCAGCAAATCAATTTTTTGCGTGAACAGTCAGCAAAACTTGACAAAGCAATGCCAAACCGTCCACAATATCAATGGCGAACCTCCAGCCTCATATCAGACCTTCAGCTCTACATAGCCATATAGCTTATACTGCATACAACACATTTGTAGAGTAGTAAACGAAATAGTCCAGCCTGAAGCGTTAGTGCTTAAATAACGCTTAAAACACATTGTCGGGTTTCGGAATACTATTACTAGACTACCAAGATCATTTTCATCGCATTTGCGAAATTTTCATTTTTCTGACTTTTCAGACCCTGAGAGTTAGGCGTAGCATCCCTTGTAATTAAATTGGGTTGTTATAAAGATTGTGAATTTCTAATCAGTATGAACAATCAAACGGTGACACTTAAAAGATCTACTGTCTATCATTCATGATTATTTATTCTTTACCGTTTAAATTGTATTGAACATTCATAATATTAATTTGACAAATTCACTCAGCAACATGATTCTCATCATGGTGGATAATGTTTTAATTATCATCATCATCTATGATTAACAGAAGTCTCTCATAAAGTAGGAAAACAATAAAAATGTTGTTCCAAATGAGAATTCGAAAAAATACTGACTATAATATCATATTTCGGGTGCTTTCATGATGTGCTTTTGTAATATGATGAATATCCATCGTGTACATATCAACAACATATAGAAAGTGAACAAAATTGTTTGAAATAAATCTTCATCAGGCTTTGTTCTACTGATATATATATAATAATACATACATACATATATATTTCTGAATAATTTTTTCTGGTTAGCGATTGTTAGCGAGTTAGTTTTCTACGGGATGGGGTCGCCAACCCCATGCCCAACCCTCCTCCTTTATCCGGGCTTGGGACCGGCAGTAGCCTCCGGAGGAACTCCAGGAGGAGTTTATACATATATATGGCAATAACATAATAACATTGATATATGTGTAGTTCAATAATATTAGACCAGAAAGGGAATTTTTGAGTAAATAATAACATTAAAACAGATTGTATACCCAAGCATACTAAGGCAAAAAACACAAGTAAATAATATATTGACAGGTAAAGTAATTAAATAAAAGCATAATTGGGCTTTCTCCAGCCGAGAAAGTCACTGAGATATTATAAACTGATTTTGAACACAAGGACTAGAGCTGTTAGCTCGAATGTTCATACTTTCTGTCATGAACAAACTTTATTCGTAAAAAAAAACTGAAAGCATTAGACAAGCCACTGTGATTGTTTTCGTTCCACCTACAACAAGAAGCTATCAGTTAATTCTTTTAAAGAATTGAAACAAGATGCTAACTAAACTAACCACGAATCGAAAACAACATAACCCTAAGATTTAAATATAGTTCAGAAGTCATAGGTTCTTCTTTGCTTGTATAGAGTTAGGGTTTGTTATCTATACCCCGAAACATTAAACAGGCTGATTCGAATCAGAAGTCTAGTACACACATTAGTCATTAAAATAAGCATCGAAAGCGTTTTATATTTTACTTCTATAGTCGAAGATATAAATGTAAACAGACGTAAAGCCTTCTGGAGATTTTACCGAAAACAGTATTATTTGTTCAGATGTATTTTAAGAAAACTGAAACTTGTAAGTTCAATAGTCAATAATTAATTTTTGCCAAATCGACAGGAACTTCCGATGCAATCGTCTTAGCTCTATGAATTTCAAAAACCAATAAAAATTGTTGATTACTAATCTTATTAGTTTGCATCATTGTTTCTTACCAACCCCGAGCGTTGTTGCTACCTTGACGTGGTGGTCGGGCTTGCCTATCATGATGAAGCCACCAAGCTATATTGGCTGGAGAAACCGTTCCTCAAGATCCTACCATGTCAGACAGGTCGCTTGAAGAGCAGTAAGACTAAAAGCAACAAACCCCAGGTCCGAAGGAGAAGTCGTACTACTGACTGTACAGAGGTGTGACAGTAGTAAACTGTTTCCTTCAGACAACCAGCAAGACAGCCATACTGCCTTCCCACAACGAGGGGTGGGTGGGTTAGAAAAGGTCGACCCTAAAAATGAACATCTCGCCTTATCCCACAGATATCCATCTCCGGCTATAAGGTCTCAACAAGTACGGAGCTAACACAAAAATTGCTCACAAAAAGGTCATGTGTGACCGACCTCAAGTAGTTGTCTCTTGGGCACTGCGGTCACGCTCTCAGGTCACTAAGACCACCTTTAATCTGATTTCCTTTTCAGGTACCTCCAGAAGAACCCTTCCACGGTGTGTGCAACCGGGAAGTGATAACCTCCCTCATACCTCTAACAGCACTCAAGACTACTGTATTCATAATCAACTTATTCTTACCACCGGTATTCGTTAGATTTCAATCAATCACCCAGGACTGAACGTAGTTATAGCTCTTTCAAATATGATATCATGATTTAAAAGTTCAAGAATTAAGACTTTTATCATCCAAAAACAATTTAGTATTCTTTATAAATCTGATTTTTGCATAGCTTTTACCAGTTCTCCACTACCGACCTACAGTTGTAAATTGCAAGTATTATTTCATAACATCAAGTAATAAACATCCAAGGATTAAAAGAAAAAGAGTATATATTTATGATGGTATAAATTCGAGACTGAGTTTAGTGAAATAAAATCTTACCTCTGGTCTATTTCTTAATAGATGTATTTCGTTCACTTGAAAATAGTACATATGTTTACACTGTAGCATGGCGTCGAGTCGCGGTTGACTATGAACATCACTACAGGAAGGTTGCGTACGGAATATCGATAACATCCCCCGGGAGCCAAATATCAGAAGGCAGTTAATGGACGTAGTTCAGATATATTTGCTGGCGATCTCGTGGTATCGAAAGAATACCGAGATCATGCCAGGATACAAGCTTGGTTACTGAGCGTAACCGAATTCACGCGAGGCCACAATCGAAAGAAGAGAATAGTGGATGTTTTTTTTAGTACAGTTAAGCAAACAAGCACAGTAAAACAATCACTGGTACAATTGGTTATAATAATGTTTATTTCCATTAAACCAATCGCATTCTAATTCAAAAGATAGATATATCATTTCAATAATGATTAATCTACCTCCGTTTATTATGTTTTCAATCTTTCTGACTTCAGGAAAAACTCCCGAAGTTCTAGTGAGAAGCCGTTACCAGTGGAGTTCAACCAGGTCTGTTGTGAGATAGAAACTCACTGAAGACAATGGTGTACGGTGGCGCAACTTCGTGGATTGGTTGAAGTTAGACATTAACACCGTCGGATGCTGGCTCAGTGGTCTAATAGTTAAGTGCTCGCGCGCGAAGCCAGTAGGTCCTGGGTTCGAGCCCCGGGTGGTGCGGGATCGTGGATGCGCACTACTGGGGAGTCTCATACTAGGACGAAATGGCCGTCCAGTGCTCCCAGGTTTTCAATGATGGTCTAGCTTCAACTGACTCATGATTTCAATCTGTGAAACTTTCTATTTATTGCCAAATTCTAGTCTTATTTATCTCTTCCCAATTTGTTATCAATTAAAGTTTCTAAACAAGAAAAAAAAGTATAAACTAGGAGTGATGCAAAATCATTTGTCATTTTCAGAAAGAATAAACGATAATGTTTCTGAACGAATCAATCAGGCATAAGATAACAGGTTATGGATTTTGGCGCGAAATTCACTCATTC